GGGCTCACTAAGCCTTGTCTGGGAACATTATCATGGCCACTGATGACAGTGCAGGGCACTATATAAACCGCTTTCTCTCACATGCCAATAAATCTAGAGCCATTACAGGCAGGAGCGAGGTGTCGCTTTGCATGCCAACAGCAAGTTTCTATAGAGAACCTCATGCACGCTCATGTATGCATACACACATTCTCATTGTACGAAAGTGCACACACCATGTACATAATACACATACACACACTCGCATTGTGTGACAGAACAAACAAAGTAGGATATCTGCTTCTGTTGCTAGGATACCAGCTCTTCTGGCTCCTAAGTAAATCAGGGTGACTGGTGGCACAGACGGCTGTGAAAAATTAACACAAGCTGTGTAACAAAGTAAGAGTAACATCCAACTTAATGTAAAAGGAAACCACATCCATTCAGCTGGTTTCAGTTTTAAAATAATAGTTTTTCAAGTTGGCTTTCAGGTGCTGATAACTTGAACAGGCAGTGTTTCCTATTAATTACCTAGACCCGTCACAGTTTGACAATGCACCGAAAATATTTTTACACTTGTCATAATAACATAAAAGATCTCCAACATTGTGTTTTACACCATTGCTTCAGCAAAGAACTGCTCACTCCCAGTCAGACGTATGCATACTTCCAGTTTCATACCATGTTGGAAAGACCAGTAAAAGGCATACAAAACATTACGAGTAAAAGCATTTTTTCCTGCTTTATCAGGAATAAATATTTAATTTTAATTGAGATTCTGGTTTTCCTGCTGTCCCCGATTAGCTCCCCCCCTTATCATTCTTAATGCGGTTTATGTATTATTCAGATACCTGGATAAAGAGGGACTTTCGACATCTTGACAGTGATGGCCAGGCTGACACCATTGTCACTGCTGTGAGAAGCTGTCCTGCAGAACAAGCAGGTGCCAGAACAGAGAAACTCTGTGGGCTTGGCACTGATGGGGCAGCGCTTACGACAGGTATCATGATTTAACTATTTCATGTTACTTAATTTATAGCTGACCGACAATCCATGTGGCTTGTTGCCGTGGCATGTGCCGCAAACTACCTTGCCTTTGGACAATAAGAAAGCATCAGGGTTACTGTAGTAATCTTTACTCCTTACCATTGACGGCAACATTGCCCTGCACCATTGGTCTAAAAGTTGCTCTGTGTATCATCAGCTTGACATCTCAATAGGTAATCATGATTAATGTATTGATTAATTAGTAGTGATTTATTATATAATTGATTTATTGAGTATCAAGAAAGTTATAATATTATCAGTATGATCCTTTTGTGTAACGTGAAGTTTCTTAAAGAAATTTCCTTTGGGCCTGTTGCTCAAATGGTTCATAGAGAAAGTCTGATTGTTTCCTTGTTTTTTCCCCCTCTTGAGCTCAGTGAGTAATTCCACACTGCCACACAGGGCCAAGGATGAACGATTTAGGGAAAAGATCTAATTGCGATTTTTGTTTAGCTGAAGTTCAATATTCACTGCCAGTCTATAAGTCAGACAGAGAACAGCATAGAGAATCCGGTCAATTTTCAAAATAAAACGCCTTCTGCAGACTCCCGATCGTATATCAACAATAAACACAGTTAAAACAGACAAAAAAAAAAGAAACAATTTAACTACGTAGCCTACTTATCCATGGTAGAAGCACAAAAAGCAAGGACAACTGAACAAATTAGCAAAATCTCAACAAGTCAGCAATAGCAACCAGCCAAAACGCTCTTATTCTGAAATGCTCCATGTGGATATGTAGCCTGCAGAGAGCGGTGCGAAACGGGTTCACAGAGTGCTGTTTAATTAACAACACGTCAATAACGTGTAGGCTCCACTGCTGAAACACTTCAGTGTGAGTTGACGCCGGTCAAGATTGCGGCATAGCTGACACCATTATCCAACGTTTTCCTCTAGTTTTGTTTGTTGTAAAATGTACACGCCCTGTGCCCGCTCTGATTGGTGAGTAGGACCGCAACAGTAGAAGCATGGCGCTTGTAATTAGCGAACAAGTCAGTCACACAAGGATGACAACGGAACCAAAAATATTCTGTTAGCCGGTCCCTCCCCTGGAGTGGGCACAGCCCGCTAGATAGAGCGGGACTTTCCTGCAGTGTGCACATCTTTTGTGCAACCTGCAGGTTTGTGGCACCAGTGTACCTCCAGGCTGGCATATTGCCGCATCTTGCACGGCTGTCAAAAGTCTTCCAACGGGCAAATGTCAACTTTGTTCACATCAGTTTATAATATTTCCTGTTAATGTTTATGTTATGTCTTTAAGATGTCTTTAACAAGGCTCATGAAAGAAGTAAATGTTTCTTTGTTGCCCCAGAATAATATATATATATATATATATATATATATATATATATATATATATATATATATATATATATATATATATATATATATATATATATATATATATATATATATATATATATATATATATATATAATACATACCACACACACACACACACACACACACACACACACACACACACACACTTAGAAACAGTGAGGCTTTAAACTTGTTCATTTGAATGTGCCATTTTCAAAGACAGTTTTTGAATTCTTTGGAAGAGAACTTCTTATTTGCAGTTTAAAGAGTTTGGGGGGTTTATTTTTCTTTTCTGCTAAATGTAGGTTGCCAGTCCTTAGACACCACCTGGTTGGAAAGCAGGTTCCAAAATGTGGCTATCACTGGGGCCTTCAGTGTTTTGGGACCACAGGCCGCTGCGCTAGGTAATGAGCAAAACAACTCCCACTTTCAGACCTTGCCAAAAAGGTTCCTCCCTGGGAAACAGAACTTGATACTGTGGCAGTCTTTCAAGGAGCACTTGCACACAAGTAAAGTCTGTGGGTGGGAAGCATGGCTTATTTTGGCCTAACTGGTATAACAAATTGCTCACTCGCTCACGGTGAACACGTTTTACCGTGCATGTGTGTGGCTGTGGCCATATTCGATTACCATCTGTGCTGCTGTGCGCATGACGTGAACCATCGTGCAGCGCTCAATGATCAGGTATGTGAGACTGATTGGACCCAGTCACCAGTCATGGCCAATCAAGCTGAAAACAGGTCATTTCCGTTCACCGGCCGATTGGTGCATCTCTAACTGTCAGTCCATTAGGAAAGGATCTCTTAATATCCAGTATTTGGAGGAGTGATTACAGCAAGCAAACCCTGTTCAAATGGCCAAATGGGAACGTGACCACTGTTTAAGGCAGAAAAACTGTCAACCTGGTGGCTGCGTTGTACTCGACCTGTAACGTACAAAAATGCCAAACTGCACACTGAGCAAATACATGTCATTGTGTCTGCTGTGACCCATGTCACCTCTCCCCACACTTCCATCGTCGGACTGTTATTGAGCAATTATGGCCATTGATTTTCTCTCTCTCAGCACACCTCTGTATGACAGCTGGCCTTTGTAAGTGGCCTCACTGGATTCCTAACTGCTGCCCTCTGTGGCCAAGCTATTTGCTCGAAGATCTGGCCAATTTAACACGCTATTCCTGCTGCTATTCCTGCCCTGTCACCTCAAGGTGTACAGTAAAGCTCTTTGAAGCAAGCACAAATGCTCGTCCTGTGTGAGTTTTTACACATCATCCACACTGTACTGAATATTTGCTTCTTTGTTACACTACACTTTTTTTATTGCTTGACTAATTTTGAAGATATTGGTGGTGTTGATATTTTTCCATATCCCCAAAATATCAACACACCTACATCCCATCACATCAAATGACAACGCATGTTTCTTATCTTCAGCTGTTCACGGGATCCTTTTCAGTTTTCAATCAAAATGCCATTCTGACTGTTATGTTTGACAATCCAAGGCTATAATTCATCTTTGCACACTCTGCAATGCTGCTTTTATGCACAGAAACAGCTTTTTGTTTCATTCATGCAATATCTTTTGAAACTGACAGCGAGCTCCCAGGGAAGTGGAGTCTCAGTCAAAACACATCATACAAGCATATTGTTAGTGTTGAAGCTGGTAGTCACACGCTTTATCACTTAGACAGTAACTGGACGGCCTTTTCTCACTTCTGCCACTTTATGGGCGTGTTGTTCTCTTGGCAGATCCACACTTTATCCACTTTTCCCTACGTGATTACATGTAGATACAAAATCACACATATTGCACAACTGAACCTCCCACCCTGGCAGTTCCCACTCAGGATTCCAAAACAAACACGCAAGAAAACACAGTTAATAGACTGAGACTCGAGCCATTAGTACATAGCAGTGTCAAACAGCCTGAAACCATTACTATAAAGTGGAGGAGTTAAAACAAAGCAAGCCAGACCAAAATACTGCTTATTTCATTGTGTGAATGTTTGACTTGTCCTCATGGTCAATACAGATCAGCACTGTGTTCATTTAAGTTCTTTGTAAGCATAACTGTCAACACATTACTTATGACTTAATTAGCAGAAATTAATGTCAAAAATTTAAAACGATAGATGGAAGGAAGGTCCGATTAAACAATGAATTGAACATGTGTCATTACAGAAATTGAATTTTAAAACGACAGAGAAAAACAAACTCAGGTAACTGATCTAAACTCAGCAATCCACTTGTCATTCAGCAGCAGGAAAAGGCGTGTCAGTTATGCAGCAGATGACTATTACTTTACACTTTACTAGTTCAGTCATGTTGAGTTTCCCATGGATAGGGCTGTCTGAAATCATTCATACAACCAGACAAGAATGCATATTTGTGGCTAATCCAGCAAATTAATCCTGACAAATCAAGGTAATTCCTAACTTTAATGTAAAAATATTCTCTCATGATTTTGTCATATTGCAGCCCAACCCTACAAGGAGGCCTTAGTTTGCAGTGAGTGAAAATAATCCCACACACAAGAATACAACAATCCAATAGGCAGTTGTAAAACCATTCAGCCCTTTGATACACTTAAACATGAGTAGCCACTCCCCTGCAAATCCTTATGTAAACAGTATGAAAGCATCATTATGCACCTGTCAGACCATAAAATGAGTTCAGCCACAATTAAAACCAAAGCAAACAATGATGTTTGACATAAGCAGCAGAAGAGCAGAAAGGTTAAGTTAGCAACCAACAACCAGGAGCAAATTTGTAACAATTAGCATAACATCCAGCAGCGTTAGCATGGCAGCCATATTGACAAGCACACAGACAGCTATTATCACAGCTAGCTACTCAGTGGAGACAAGTTACTAACTCACAATACACGTGTTAGCAATGGTAGAAAATGCATACCTGTTTGAAGTGAAGCTCTGATAGTCTCCGGTGCATCTTGTTGTGGTCCAAAGCTCCCACAGAAGGACAGGTAAACTACTTTCAGGTTAAAGTGCCAACGGCTATTAACTGCCGCCGAAAGGAGTCGCTACAGCCCCCATGAGTGCCGCAAAACCAAGTTAGTCACTCCATAAAGTCGTCCAGATGCCGCTGTTTGCAGGTGAACTTGATTATAAAATGCTAAATTAGCTTTAGCAACAGTTGTAGCAGTTGGCAGGGCCATTAAAATACACCTTACTCTAACGGCCAATCACGAACCGCAATGCGTGTGTGTTCACTGGGGTGTGGAGGTCCTGATGTTCCGGTGTGTCCTAACTGGACTGACAGTCGCTATACTGATATTAAATGAGCAAAACAGTATCCATTGGTAACTAAGGACATTTCTAAGTACTGCGCTGAAGTACAAAGTTGAGATACTAGATTATTTACATTTCATGCTTTGTACTTCTGCTTCTCTACATTTTGAAAAGCCAATATTGTGTGTTTACTCCACTATATTTAGCCTATGACAACATAAGTTACTTTGCAGATTCAGATTAATAATACAAAATATAAATAAACTAATAAATTATGGTGTATTATTATATATTGAGCTACCCAGCAGTATATAAACTTGAAATTAGCCCCACCTTTACCAGCTGCAACATTATTGATGCTTACACCTTAACGCATCATTAAGTATAAACTAGTACATCTTCCACCACTACAACACTATGTTTAGGGTATGTGAGATTAAAAATGAATGTGGATTGTCACAAGGTATAGCCTAAGAACAAAATGTTTAGAATTATTATAAATGAAAGTGGCATATGAAATGCCACTTTCATGACAGAGAAATATAATTAGCAAAACATTTTTTAAAAATCAAGTAGATGTTAATTGTTATTTTCCTTGTGTGTCTGCTTCAATTACATGCACAGCATCTTGTTTATGTTGCTGTAGTGATTAGTAATTGTTTTGTTATCAAATTAGTGTTCTAGGTTTTAAACATCTGTGAGTCTTTGTTTTGTAGTGTGTTAAATACTTATTTTGCATGTTTGTTTTTGAGTAACGACCACAGCAGCAACTGTTTTCTAAAAGTTTACCTAAAAGTATTATAACCTGAGGATACTTGAGCCAGAAAAGTTAGTAGACATTTGCGTTCAAGTCAAGTCAATTTTATTTATATAGTCCAATATCGCAAGTCACAAATATTCCTCAAGAGGCTTTACAACCCTCAATTTTCCCCCCAAAAAAACTTTCACTGGGTAAAAAAATGGAATAATCCTCAGGAATAGAAACAGAGGAGGGATCCATCCTCCAGACAGGTGGACAGACATGCCATAGATGCCGTGTGTACAGAATAACATACAAAAATTACAGAATGGACACCACTGTTCCCTAGGTCAAGTATTATTTTACAACAGAACAAACCAAGTAATGTCCTTATTTCAGATTGGTTTCAAGTTTTATAAAATATTTTACCACAAAAATGTGCAGATGCAGCACACAACAATAGAAATACAGGAAACAGGGAAGAAAACACTATAGACAGGTCAATGTATATTGATTATTTGGGTAACATTCCCTGCAGTCTGTGTTTGCATAGGCTGGATAGGAGCTAAACCTCATGCCATGTTCAACCCTTACTGAACAGATGCTGTTACCTCTGTAGTATTATTAAACACAGGGGTTTCTTTTAATATGAAATAAATAAAATAGAGTAAATAAAATAAATATCAGTCTTCAGTACGTTCACCATAGTGCCATATTAAATTTTAAAGGCAGCCATCTTAAAGTGTGTGTTAATTCTTTCGTGCTGTTGTTTTCCCTGTTTTTCAGACAGGAACTAACTGTGTTGTGGCTGCTCTGGGCCCAGCCTTTTTTTCTTACTTATAACCTGTAAATAAATCTTTATAGACAGAATTAAAAACATTCACATTTCATATCATATGTTGATGTGTTCCACATTTTTTCCACAGACATGCATTTTACAGCCCACCACCTTTTACGTAAACATCTGACTCTTGAATTCAACATCTGCTCTGGGTTCAGCCTGACAGGTCAGTTCATGTTTTCAAGCATTTTACATTTTACAAATTTCCAGAGTGCCTTATATCTACACTTACCTCAACCTTTTGGGAACCCATCATTTTTTTGCTGCAGCAGGTACAATACAAACCTCCATCCTGACACATTCAATTATGACAGCATATACTTGCAGGATTCTTATTTTAATGAACACATAACATGCTGGAGTTTGCATGTTCTCCCCATGTCTGCGTGGGTTCTCTCCGGGTGCTCCGGTTTCCCCCCACCGTCCAAAGACGTGCACTAGGTTAATTGGTGACCCTAAATTGTCCTTAGGTGTGAGTGTGAGCGTGAGTGGTTGTTTGATATGTGTGGCCCTGTGATGGATTGGAAACCTGTCCAGGGTGTACCCAGCCTTTCACAATGTCAGCTGGGATTGGCTCCAGCCCCCCGCGATCCTGTACGCAGGATAAGCAGTTGACGATGGATGGATGGACATAACATGCTAAATAAACAAAGCTTGATATGAAATTGAAAATTCACCGCTTTCAGGATCACCAAATGCCCAGATGCAAAAACTGCTATTTGAGTTTCCTTTTTTGTGATTAGGGAGCATTTTAGAATGCACTCAAGTGCATTTTCCAAAACATTTTTCACACCAAATAACCACTAATCCCTCTTTTCATATGCTTGAAAACTTGCTTTTAAATAGAAAAAGCTGACTGATTCAGACCTCATAATAAACCTTGGCCTGACTTTGAGAAGGGGGGGGTGAGGAATAAGTACCAGCGAAAAAATGAGAGAAGATGAAAAATATTTTTTAAAAAGGCACACACACACACACACACACGCAAGCACCACTCACATTCACATACAAACACATCTAAGCATCCACTTCCCTTTTTGAGGTGGAGGTACAGCAAACGGCTGGTTGCAGTGTAGTAAAATATTTCAACTGCAGCTGTGTCAGAAGTTTTTCCACTAATCTCCTGAGTTGGGGATCTTTGAGTGGGAAACTAAATATCTGTGTCTGAGGCCTGTCACACAGCGCTGCATCACAGGATGATCAAAACCCCCTTCGGCAAGCTTTCGCATTGTCTGAGAGAAGGGCCTCTTTTGAGAAACGAGGGATGGTGAGAGAAGGGGTTGGCTGGTAGCGGCTGTGGAGGGAGGGTTTGGAGGAAGAGAAGTAAAGAGAGTTGGAAGCAGGGTTAATCCCACACTGTCATTATCCTCACTTCTTAGCCACAGTCTGCGAGTTTCCCCATAATGAAGGCCATTTTCAAGGATTTGCACCTAGCGTAGACGCCAAATTCTGCTGTAATTACCGATACGGAGAGATTCCTCTTACCTTTAGCCTTTACTGTGGGTTATAAATAGTAATCCCTCATCGTTCTGCACAACTGTAAACCTGCAGAAAATGCAGCATCTACCGCACTACAGCTCCTGACTGATAATGATGTTTACTGTTACAGAAAACCCGCTTCTTCTCCACCTTTAAATGTCAACAAACAAAGAGGCTTAATTATTTCAACTCATTTCATGATCTATTTGTTTAATTGGTAATGATTTGCCTAAGGAGATAAAATAATAATGCAGATACTGTGTAATCCAATAAATAAAGTAAACCTGAGCTCAGACACAGCACGTAAAAGCTTTTATGCCATCTCTGACTTAATTTAAAAACAAGCACAGTGACAGGCGGAGTGAAGGGAAAAAAGCTATGATTATGTTTATTCCAAATGATTGTCAAAGATAATAAACAAAATCTATCATTTTAATAGACAATATTTATGTTGATCATGTCAAGGAAATCTTTCATGTCTGCAGTTACACTTCTTCTGGAAAAGGTGTAAAAAGAAGCTGTCTAGAGTTTACTGCATGTTAGCCGTTTCCTGCAGTCGCCTGCCTGTGTCCATATGGAAGCCCAGATGAGTCAGTGTGAAATACACTTGTTACCCATGTGGCACCACTGTTGCTTTCCCAAGACTAAACCTCACTGTGCACCGGGCATGATGATCGAGCCCGAACTTCCTCCCCCTTCTTCCTTTCGCTTCATCAAGCTGGGGTTTTATTCATTGTGACACACAGAGTGATGCATGAGAGCTTTGAGAATAAGTTGCTCACTTTTTTTTTTGTTACTTCTGTCTGTTGAGACATTATTTGATAAATATGGAAAGATATTTTATCAGATAAATATATTACAGTTAAGTTTTTGTTCTTTGCTTTGCATGCAAATGGTTTGGCAGCTTTCCAGAAACTGATGATCTTAATTACTTTATCCTGCTAACCCACTGATTTCATTCAATAGCTCTGGCTCTTTCTGTGTAGCCACAGTGAACACTAGCAGGTCACTAGGCAACCTTTTATATGCAACAACAAAAATGCATTTTACAGGGAACATTGACACTGAACATGTATGCTATATATTTATTGCCAGTGTATTTTGAAGATGCATTGTACATAATCCAAAAATGTTCAAATTGAACTTTTCCCAGCACTTAATAGACATTGGACTTCTTCAAGGACTGGTACTAGCCTCAGTATTGCAACATGTATGTAAACATATTTAGGAGGATACGGAGTTGCTCTCTATGGCAGCTGGGAGTCACAGAAAGCACAAGAGCAAGAAAGTCTCTCTGTTGTTTCATACCGTGTTTGATAAATGAAGAATTGCTCACAAACTCAGAATACATATTGAAATCTCTGTTATTGCTTCAAGACTTAGATCTAGGGACAGTGTCTTGAGAGTTCAGTTAGGCTGGTCACATACAACGGTATGAATGACAACATGGCTCTCCAAAATCCTGAACCTGATCATCAACTTCTTAAACAGACATTCTAGATATAAAATAAACCAGGACAATGAGCAGCTGTTGTACAAGCTGCAAATGAAGTAAGGCTGGAGGATATTACCTAAAATCAAAATCACGATTAATTGAACATTTTACCTCAATCACAATAAAATCTTTAACAAATTTTTTTTTCGTGGCCTGACATGCACCTCCCCAAAAATGTAACTACACGACCACAAGAACTTTGATTGGTCAGCTTTGTAGCATTGCCTCCAAAGGAAGTGCTTTGTGCTTTGAAGTCAATTTTACTAGCATCCAATCCAGCAGCTGTAACACGGTGGATCAGAATTTTTTTAGCATCACAACCTCCAGAATGTGATCTATTCAGTCGATAACATTTGAAAAGTCTAGAAGAGCCACACGATTATAATTTTACCCCCATTCAAGTTAGCGGAGGGCTAAACCGGAAGTTAGCTGGCTCAGCTGTTAGAAGTTAACACAGTGGACGCTGTAACGCCACAGCCAAATAGGGTTTTGGTGTAATTGCAGAATGGCACAGACACTAACGCACAAGTAAAAATGAGTGGCTACATGCGGCATAGGCTATGGCGTGGACTCAACGCAGAAGTATAAATCAGGCTTCACGGTCCATGTACTTAAACTGCAGACGTAACAGGAGTTGTTTATTATTATAAAGATTAAGGTGGGTAAAGAGTCTGTGTACTTGGCGGCTAACGGATTTTCGTTTTGAAATGAAAAAAGGAAAAACGGCTTGTTTCCCAATTACCATTAGGAAATAGGGAAACAAAAAATGGAAAATCCTTTACTCACCTCCAACTTTCTCTGTAGCACAGATAATCCCTGCTACCCATGTGTGCTAATCCATTCTTTCACCTATATTCTTTGTCTTTATAATTTTTATCTTTATAATAATAAACAACTCCTGTTTCGTCTGTAGTTTTCGCATTTTTTCCTGTCACTTTTCATGTGTGTTTTCTTGACAAAACATGGTCTGGAGTCCAGTCCTTGTTAGTTTGTGTAGGCTACTGTGTGACCTCGTGTGGCCAATCAGTCTTTTAAGGGCAGTGCAATGTGTGCCTTGCCAGTGTGTGGGTGAGCGAATGTGAGAGAATGAGTGGCAGAAAGTAATGCTGAAAACAAGCAAGTTAGTTGTTTCGATTACTTTTCAATTAATCGTCCAGCCCTAATATGAAAGTTAATTCAAAGATTGTCCCAACAGCCAACTTAAATATAACTACAGTATATCATTCCAGAGTAGTAGGGTTGGGTATCGTTTAAAATTTTATGATACCAGTACCAAAACCAGTACCCTTAAAGTGAGACCAATACCAATTGAGTACTTCATTCAATACCTTGCATAAAATGCCGCCTGTTGAACCCATAGTAGTTGATATTGTTATTATGGACAAGGGTATCTATTTTTTTTTCTTGTTTGTTTGATACATGTGTTGAAAGTAAAAAAGTGAAAATTATTGTGCATACAAATAGTATTTTTTTGCTGCAATCTGGTTACAAAAAGTATTGAATGAAGTACTGCTTTGACTGGAGATGTTGCGATTCTTCTTGATACCAGGCTGTTTTGGTCGATACCATAAAGGTACAGAGTAGCCATACCATCCCTACAGAGTAGACAAACAATACAAACATAAATCAACTTTTCATCATAGAGTCCCAACTCAAAGTCTACGTTATAGCATTTTCAGGAGCTTTCAACCGTATCACTGATCTGTTGATATGCAAGCTCAGTAACTGCCCTGATTCCAGCCATAGCACTTTTAGGACTTTTCTTCCATGTTGGCTCAAGCATAAAAGTTCAGCCTTGACCTTGTAAATAGCTGTTTGACAAAACAGTCTCAACTCAAGGGCCACTTATTAGGTTTTGCAGGAGCTTTCAGCAGTATCACGGGTTCATCATCTTTATCAGGTGGTGGTTTCAATCAGTTATCATGGAGACAGCTTACTGTACAAACTTTTTAGTAATTGTAAATAAACTTTATTTTAAAGTGTAAATTAATCAAAAATTTTATTTAATATTTTTCCTATTGAACCTGTCAATCAAATGAGAATAAGGTGCCACTTTCTGTTTTCACTAATTCCTTTCACAATTCGCATTGTTCAACCATGCTTTTTTTCAATCCTTTTTTCAGACCTTGGACACCTCTCCAGTATTGGTGAAACAAGACAATTTTTTCCCCCAGTCACAATTAAAAACAAGTAAAATAAAGTAGCAATCTATTTGAGAAACAACAAAGAGAATAAATACATTTGCAGATGTTTTTTCTTTTCTTTCATGAGTGTCTTACAGCTAGTGACATCAGCTTCATTTTGTTCTATTATAATTTGTGTAATTCCCCGTAATTTTGTATCATCACAATGAATAATTGCAGTAATGTTTCATACAGTAAACCCACTTGAACAAAGTACAGTATTTAATTAAATAGCTGAAGCTATAGAAGGAGCTCGATGACCTGCAGTGTGCCACGGGTGGGTGTTCGGCAGGTGATGATTCACAGTGCATAGAATTAAACTGTGGAATTTGGCGATAGAAAATAACATGCATTGAGTGGAAAAATAACTGTTGAACCTCCTCAATTGAATATATTTTCACTTCACGAGAATTACAAGAAATTCTAATTTCCGACTCAAGAATATTCATATGGAGAATAAAAGTCTAACAACATTACCATTTGTAGCCTGAGGGTGCTTTGTATTGAAAACAAATAAGAAAATGGTTTAATGGGAAGAGTAGGTGAAAAACAATAATATGAAGTGAAAAACAGCAAAATGTTACGCCAGTTCCAGAGCCTGCAGCAATATCAAAACTCTATACCTCTGTGTCCATGAAAAAGATAATCAGTGATACTTCCTAAACAGAAATTTTTGATGCACAAAGTCCTCCATGCATGGCTTTATTTCTGTATAAATAAATACATTTAGCCTAAATATGACAACAGTTCTGTGTTAATTTGAGAAAATGTGTTTTCCTTTGTAGATCCAGAAGCTGTTTCGAGTATCTTCTGCAAAACATCTGCCTGTAGGTAAAACATGCACAAAATACACGTTTTCAGGTTTTATTGTGTTTTCACCAGATTGGTATCAGAGCCATGACACACACAGAGCACCCATATCATATATTTACCCATAACAGTCTGTGTACCCATTTGGAATCTGTTAAGCCTGCCAGAGCCAGATAAAAACCTGTTTTAATGCCATACACGGCTAAGAAGGTGTTCTCAAGCATGCTGATCATGTACCAACACTGCAAGATCTGTCTGACTTACATCAGAAGTGAATTTCACTTGTTTGGGTGCAGCACTTAATTTGTCTGTAACGTCATTAAACCTGTTTACAAGGCAAAGTGTTTCATAAGAATGTTTTTTTTAGCACTCTGAAGATGAAATATGCAGTACATGTGAAACCATTAAAGCACAGAGAAGTAATTGTTATTTCATCCTGTTTACAGCCGAGGGCAAGGGAAGTCACTGAGGTGGCACTGAGGGTATTTATGGTCTGTGAATATATACTATTGTCATGTTAATGTGCTCGGACGCTTCTGAAGATCCTCAAAGTGGTATTATATCGTACGAGCTGGCTCCACGACTCAGCTCAATTCACACTTCTCCTGGAGACACGAGGGCAGAATCTGAGGATTACTAAATTGCATCTAAAAATCAATGTGGGGAAACTCTCGGCCATATCAGCACTTATACTTTGAATGCTGAATAAGTAAAGCCCATGGGTTTGCATTCAGGGTGTATTTAATAAGTGGGCTTGACCTTTTACTGTGGCAACAAACCTCCTGCTTGTAGCCCCCCAGTATAAGTGGAGCATTGCTTTAATGTGTGCAGTGGCCTTCAGTTAAACAACCTACACAGCAGAAATGTTTGCAAACATGGGTAAAATCAGATGCATCCATATTCAGTTGCAAAGCCCTAAAGCCTTCCATGCTTAAGGCTGAATATCAGCAAGGGAAATAGGCTATACTTTACCTTTAAATGAAAAAAGCAAGCTGAAATCAAAAGTATTCACATAACATATCATATAGACTTTGTCACACTTTCTTCCCATCATATTTCTATGTTGGTGTCACACTGCTGACTAATCCCTGTGGGGCAACAGTGACATAAACTGGCAAGGGGTGTAACATTAACGACGTGCCACTTACTCATCAACCCGGTGAAGTCACTCAAACTTTCCCACACCGACTGTACATTCAAAGGTGACTCACAGCAAATTGTAAAACACTACAGTGCTTTGATTCAACATCAGTAAAGCTACAGTTTGGATTGGAGCAGTATTTTGGACCCGCTGTTGCTGAACCGTTGGGGGAAGGATTTGATTTCTCCAGTAAAAAAAAAATGCAGCTCAACAGGTGGTGAGATTGTGCAGCTTGGACTTGGCAACTACCCACAGATGCACATGCACCATGGACAAAGGAGGAGAAGAATGCCAGGGATGAATAACTGGTCTGTCTCTTTCATTGATTTCCCCTGAAAGTAAAGAGAGGACTCCTGGAGACTCCACTGAAAAGCCTTTTTCAATCCAAATCCTGAGAAGGCGCAGGCTCTATGTGCTACAAATGTCTATACAGAGCAACTCAAACTGCTTGATTTGAATATTTTGGGCTTCTTGGTAAATACCCTTTAATCACAGCTATTGCAAAATTGGAGTGGTTTTCTGCTGTTTGACAGATAACAACCTCTCAGTGTTGTTTTTATTCTACCACTTTCTTTCTCTCTCTTGTTCTTTGGTCACATTTCTTCACGTGTGGCCATGAAGTGTCACACCTGGATCACCTGCTTATAGTTCCTCCTCTTATATGAGCAGCGTTATCGCCATCAAATACCATAACATGATAGCAACGTGAGTCACAGGGGGAGGGGTCCTGCAGGCGTAAAGTAGGCGTAGGCTTCCGTACCACAGCTGACACTCCAAAACCGGTAGGACCGTCTGGCTCGAAAGCACAGCACAGAGGAGGCGCTCCGGTCAAGTTGTACTCCGGTCGGACGCGAGTTTTCTGCGCTTGATAAAGATCACGGAAACGATGCAGAGCTGGATCATATAGCTGCTGCTTTGGAAGTATTTGTGCTGCAAACAGAGAGCCCAAAGCTGCAAGACATGAAATCTTTGTCGAGTGGACGATTATAGTTTATTAAATAAAGGTAAGAGATCCACGGCACTTCCACGCTTTCTTGCTCCGTACGAAAGAAAGGTATCAAGGTAGACGAAATAAGACTGTCAAAAAAAATGTAAAAATACATGATAGCAGGCGCAAAGCATGCGGTTCTTCTCTGCGCAGCTTATAATTTAATATAGAAATGTAAATGTAATGTAATGTCTAGTTTCGTTCAGTCTTTAGGTTCAGTGTTTCCCATTTCCTCTTTAACATGTATTTATCCAAGCAAATGTTTACAGCGTTGCATCACATTCATTAATTTTATCATTATGGATTATAAAGCTTCAGTTGCATAGACTCAAACTAGATGGACTACATTTTATTTAATAATGTACCAGTTCAAGGCAATCTGAGTTTTTATGTAATACATGTATTGCACTTATTGTACTGTTAATGTTCAATAAATGAAACATGTTTGTTTTAAGGACATGAAATAAAGACTAATACCATGTTTATATTCCCTGTTTAAAACGTTGTGGTTTGTTAAGGTAGGCACTACTGGGTGGAGGTTAAAGTTTAATCACCTCAATAGCCATAAAGCACACCATGCAAATGTTGCTTCCTTAAACTTTCATTTATAAAACTGGTTGATCAGGCGTGTTGCTTATATATGGGCTGGATTGTGTTCTTCCAGAGGTGTTTTGCCTCTGCGAAATATTCACCAGGTATCCTCTAAGCACAGCTGTTTTCTTCCCTTGCAGTTACTGCTGTTGGCAGAGAAGAGGCAGTTTTTTTTGTTTGTTTTTTTGCTTTTTCAATTGGACCATTGTCCTGAGGCAGCTGCTCTTTCAATGTGGGATACAGTTTTGGTGCTGTCGCCAGGCTGAAATCCTCCAGGGTCAGGACCTCTCTCATGGCAGCCTTACTCCTTGGGCTGCTGCTTTTTGCAATGCAGTCTCCCCCCATCCCCTCCAGGCCTGTGGCTGACGAGGGGCCACCTTCTCCTCCCACCTCATCGCCCACCGACAACGGGACCACCAGCCACCCAAACGGGACCCTCCAACAGCTTCCTCAGATTATAATTATTGGCGTGAGGAAGGGGGGGACGCGGGCGCTGATTGAGATGCTCAGTCTGCACAGTGCGGTCGCTGCAGCTCAGAACGAGGTGCACTTCTTTGACTGGGAGAGTCACTTTCAGAAGGGCTTGCCTTGGTATCTCAGCCAGATGCCATACGCCTTCCCAGACCAGCTGACGGTAGAGAAGACGCCGGCCTACTTCACCTCCAGCAAAGTCCCCAAACGTATCCATCAGATTAACCCTGACATTAAGCTGCTGCTCATCCTCAGAGACCCCACAGAGCGGGTGCTGTCGGACTACACCCAGGTCTTTTACAACCGTCTCCAGAAGCACAAACGCTACCAGCCCATCGAGTCAGTTCTGGTGAAGGACGGTGAGATCAACCTGAGATACAAGGCTCTCAATCGCAGCCTGTACTATGTTCACATGCAGAACTGGCTGCAATACTTCCCACTGGAGAGCATTCACGTTGTGGATGGGGATGAGTTGATCAGGGACCCCTTACCTGAGATGAAAAAGGTGGAAAGATTCTTAAAGCTACTACCCCAGATAAACGCTTCAAATTTTTACTTCAATAAAACTAAAGGATTCTACTGTTTGCGAGACCACGGGCGAGAACGGTGTTTACACGATTCGAAAGGCCGGGCTCACCCACATGTGGCACCCGCCATCCTGCAAAAACTCTACCAGTTCTTTCACGAACCCAACAAGAAGTTCTTTGAGCTGGTGGGCCGAACATTCAACTGGAAATGAACGTTTGAGTCACAGTAGTTTGGTGTAGAGTTGCTTGGGGATAATCTCCATGAGCTGTCCTGTTTTCCTCAATAACAATGTAGATGATGAGATAAAGCTAATGTAAATTCAAACTAAATCTATTTTTGTACTAGTACGTTTGTTACAGGAGTTTGATGGAGCCAAATATCAGGGCAGACTGCAGTTCATGACATGCTCTGTTAGTGCATGTCTTGTTTTTTTTCTTTTCATTGTCAAACATATGCATTTTGATGTCTTCTCACCACTGTTTAGCTCGTCTGATTAAGGCAGACTTATTATGACTGATAATGACATTCAGACTTTAGACTGTGCCAGTTAATGTGTTATATAAAGCTAAGGCAGTTTAATATTGTCATACCTTCATTCGCTTCATATAAAATAACATTATTAACGTCTAACTGCATTTAGAGCTCTGAAGGACCTTTTACCTGCTGCTATGATTTTCTCAGTCACTTTCAGGCACAAGCTGTACTGAATATGTATTTGCTCTTTTTTGTTACTCGAATATTTCTTTATGTAAGAGTCAGTTATATATATATATATATGTTTTGTGCACATCTTATATATATTTGCCGATTCATTAAGGTGTACTGTAAGTAATTTTTTTAAAAAGTGAATAATTAATACCATAATAAAGATGTATTTTATTTTTAGCATGTGTGATGCTTTTGTTCGTCCTCTTCTAGGTTCATCTATTTTTATTCAGCCATTATGTATCACTCTGCTGTGCAGTTTTTCTTCCGATTTCAAGCAGAGAGGAGGGTCACTCCTCTTACTTTTACAGTCATGAGCATGTGTCTGTGTAGAGGCTGCACCCATCAGCTGTGCAGCACTAGACCACACTGTGGTCTGAATACAATTACATTTCAACGTTGAACATTGTCAAATGCACATAAAACTATGGTGCAATGGTAACTGTCTTGTATTTCCAGTTTGGAGATGGTGGTAACTTTCTGTTTAATTCTCATCCTCCAACCATTAGCACTTTCTTTAATCGTTACATATTTAGAGTACATTTTAGTATAATAAAATTAGCATTAGGATAAGAGAATTGAGAGTGGGCAGGTAAACTCAGATTCAATTCATCTGAACCATGAGAAATCAAAAGAAGAAGTTGTTTATGCCCAAGGGTGCAATCTTCTTACTCAGTTTTTAGAGAGGCTAGGGATTATTTATTCAAATCTTATTGCTACTTTGAAAACATCAGCAGCACCGTCTGAAAGACATTAAGCTCCGAAAAACCTACAGTAGCTGTTTCATATTTGAATGTGGCCTAGATTTACTCAGGGGCTTACTGGGACTCAGCAGACAGGATGTTAACCTCACCGCCCCTTAAATGCAGACCAAAGCAATGTTTCTTTTTTTCAATCTCTTTTATTAGTTTTTCTTCTCAGAGAGCAGGAAAACTATTCACTGATCTGCCTGCAGTTTACATGTGTTGTTCATAGTGATAGTGTTGAGTGTGACTATCAACGGCTAACAGCAGAACACGTTTGGCTGTAGACATGGGGAAGGAGTATGTGAGGTGCGAGGTGGAGGCTGATATCTGCTGTAAGATTATCAGACAGCTGTTTGCGTCATTTGGCATGTGCAACGATAACACAGAACTGCCATGTTCAGGTCTTCAGAGTAGTCACATCTGGAGGAACTCGCCGGAATGCAGTTTTCTTTACTTGAAATTGAGAATACAGGCAGTGTAATGTCACCTTACTCGGGGTCGAACAAGGACTGATGCAATATTCCAAATAAACCTGTTTTTCCTTGAACACCGCACACTGCATAATTACTTACTTAAGAACAAGAGGGGGGAAAAACAACATACTTGGAAAGCTTTAGTGCTAGAAAGTATATTTAATGAAGGACTGAAGTACAATTTGAGGTATTTGTACTTTACTTGAGCACTTGCACACTGTAAAAACATATTGGTTATATACAACAAAAAGGATTTAAGTTTTGCAGACTTAAAATTCTAAATTATTAACATTTGACGCATTGACTAAGTCAGCCTAGCAATTTAAAAAAGTTTTTTGTTCCTAAACCAAAAAGTGAGTTGCTTATTTATTTAAGTTGTGCTTCAGTACTTAGGTGAAAGTTCTGAAAACACACATGCTCCTTTGTCCTTTGTCCTTTGTCCTGAAATGCAGAAAAGCCAACTTCCACAGTTGACATTTGTCCTTCCACTTCTCTGACTGGCTGTTATGGATCAAAGCAAGACTTGAGAGCACCCAGGTAAGTTATAATATTCTTTTAGCTTTAAAATAGTGTTCAGTATTCGAATAGTATTAAAAGTTATATGCTGTGATGAATCAATAGATAAGGGAATTATCATAGACAAGGTAAACACAAATAATGAATAAACACTATTGGCTAGCTAATGCGTGAAAAACTTGTCTGGGCAAGTAATGTTAAGTTAGTTACCCTTAAACCTGGGCAGGCATGTTTTTTCCGCCTTGGTCCTCCAAATAGTTTTAATTCTTGTACGTGTATGTTTATAATATTACAGCTACATGAGTAGCTGGGCTTACATTTGAATGGCTAACACTGAAGTTTAAATTTTTAAGCTGGCGTCAGCTTCCAGATGAGCTTTGGTACTGTAACTTATTAATTAATTAATAAAATGATTAATTTTAATTGTTTTTGCTGTCACGGTATTAAAATTCAAAATTTATGAGACACAATATAATTTGTCATTGGTAATTCCAGAGTCCAGCTTGACAGTTATAACTGTCACATATTGAGAAAATATTTGTCTGAGGGTAATTAAACAACTCTTAAATGTTTACTCTATTGCTGCATTGCTAATTTCTAGCAACTTGTCACGTTTGTCTTTCAGATTGAAATGAATGCTCTGCTGTAAGTTCACCCACGGCAGTGAAGCTGTTCTCCTGAAACACAATCACTTTCATCACAAAGGAGCAGGCTGGCCTTGCTTCGACACAGACTGTGTGTAAACTTTTAGAACTATTGGTGCATTAAAATCACACTTTTTGTGAACAATAACAATAAATAAATAACATAAAATAAGACTAAACCAATATATACATTTTTTTAATACAAACTTCACTAATCATTTAAATAAATAAATAGGTGCATCTTTTGGATTTGTCTCTCTGTCCTTTTCTCCATGCATTATAGAGTAATGGCTTATTCTGAGCCACAGTATTTTAATGACATTTGTCTTTCACCTTGATTTACTTTTAATATGCTTCCTTTCTGTCATCACAAGGCAGCTGACCCAGAAGAGCAGAAGACCTTATTGCGGGCATCCTCATTGTATTGGATGATGATTCAAAGTGTCGTTTATATTATGGAAGAAGACATTGTCCTTTAAAATTTGCCTGACCTGCCAACAGCATTTGCCTACCTCTTTAGGCTGATCTATGCCCAAAGAGGTAAACTAAACCTCAACTATCCAAAGGAACTGAGGTATACATTTGAGACAATTCAGAGGGTTTTCTTGGGAATTGTAATGGATCTCTCTGCAAGAGTCAGATCTCTCAAAACCAAACTCCATGCATATATCCAGCGTGTTCAGTTGTCAGCTGATGGCTGGACAGTTCAATTTCACAAGTCCCTGTTTCCCGTTGTATAATGATGTTTTAAAGGTTCATATCTTTTTAATGAGTTGGAAATTTTGTTGCCCTAAAATTTCAAGTTCTCCCAACTTTTTACTTTGTTACAGTGCATTTTCTTTAAGTTTATAATTCTAATTCTATATTACATTACTTACAACAATCTATGTGTAGTTGGAACCCCTTTTCAGATGTCTACTGTCAATGAGTTGTTCTCAGTCCCACTAAAGAGACATTTCTCTTCTAAACTGATTGGTTTCATGTAAATAACTGTTAGAGGCCCAAAAGGATAAAATTGTCCAATATTTCACACAGAAAGCTAACATTATAGAGAAAAGTACAAAGTATGAATACACATGTATGTAACAGAACTTTCTTTTTTTCTGCTTTCCTGTCCAATTAATCATCTCACTCCAGTTTGGTGCTGGGCAGGTAGTGTACAGTCAGCTTTTTGGTTTAAAGCAGCTGCTTGTTTGGGCTGGAAACAAAACTGATAAAAGTGAACCAAAATATAAGGTTGCCATAAAACCAAAACAAGCTGAAAGATGGCAAAAAAAATTCTTTAGAGCTAAACTACAGAGTCAGATAGTATTTTACTATGAGCTACTCCTTTCACATTATACACACTTTTGATCAATTGATAATATAAAAATGTAAAGCTTTAGCTCAAGCTAGCGCAGGTGCTCCTGAATGAAGCTTTGCAAATCCTTTCAGATGAAATTATCTTCAGCAAGGACACATCATCACTCTGCTCCCACTGTTTCTTCTCTAGTTTTCCGGCTGTCTCTCTCTCTCTGCTCTGCTTCCACACTACTCAGCATCAGAGTAGCATCTATTAAGAGTTCATGAACGCCCCATTAGTCTAGTCAGCTGTGCAGCCCTCTAAAGTTTTACAGTCACAGATTTCCCTTAACATCACCTAATTAATCTCACCCACATAATTAATTTGCCTCCTCGCCCCACATGCAGTAAGAGCGGTAAACTGGGGCTACAACCAGGATTAATGGCCTTGCCCTCCTCCCGGCGCCTCCTCCGCTCCCTCCGCCCCAGCTGTAACACTATTTTCTGTAGAACTTTCTGGACTAACTTTGAGCCAGCATTCCACCCCCACCTCTCTCCCTGCTGCTAGCCCACACTAGTTGTTCCTGTAGGGCCCTGTTTCCCTTCAAATCACAATCAGCCAGTCTTGGGGTTTTTCAAAGGATGATGTGATCCGATGGAGCACAGCCTCTTCTGCAGTCACCAGGGCTGCAGCTCGCCTTAATTGGAATAGATTGTTCGTCTACTCAATGTGTGAAGCCCGGCAGAAATAACACATGCACCCACTCTCTCTCTTTCTTTTCCATACAAACACAGAAATAGGAATGCACACACACACACATACACACATACAGCATCTATTTGTTAGCCTAGGCCCAGTTTGTGCCTGATGATATAAACCCGATGGTATTTTAAAAACTCGACATTTGACATGTCTTTTAACAGCACTTACCGCTGTTCTGAAGGTATTTCCAAAATCCTCAAGGACTCTTCTAACAATCTGGATGAAAAAATAATCTGTCCACAGCTGCAAGATAGTTCTGTCTTTATTTCCAAACAAAGCTGGTAGCTGGAGGTGACATATCTCCATGCTCAATTTGTACAACATGAACCGAAATGTAAAAATTTATTATCAGTAATATTCATATATATTGTATATCATGTTTCTTTCCAATATTTTACAGATATATGTCACTTACCTGCGATGGACTGAGAACGTGTCAAGTCAAGAATTGCTTAAAAATTTGTTTTGTCATGCAGCAAAATGAGATTTTTTTCAACCAGATGGTTAAACGAGTTTTTAAAGGATTTTGAAAACGCCATCATAACAGCAGTAAGTTTTGTTAAATGACCTTCTGGGTTTTTCAGAGATTACAGGGTAATTATTTTTAGGAAAATCAGATGCTTAGCTCCTTATGGCTAAGCAGGGTTTTTGATGAAAAACAGAAGAATGGGAAAACAAAATGCTGAACATACAGTAAGTCTTTATTTCAAATTTGTTTGAACGCTTTCTTGTAAATTACTTTTTCATAGTAAGGTTT